TGCCTGTAATCCCAGCTACTCAGGAGGCTGAGGTAGGAGAATCGCTTGAACCAGGGAGTTGGAGGTTGCAGTGAGCCGAGATTGCGCCACTACACTCCAGCCTGGTGACAGAGTGAGAATCCATCTCAAAAAAAAAAAAAAAAAGGAATCAAAATCATGAAATGAACACTAACACAATATTATCATTGTATCTATGTAACACTGACACAATGTTTATCTGATCTACACAATTTATTCTGATTTCACCAATTGTCCCACTATTGTTCTTTTTCCAGCCCAGCCTCTAATCCAGGATTTCACATTGCATTTCACTGTCAGGTCTCCTTAGTCTGTTTTAGTATGGAACAGTTCCTCAGTGTTTGTCTTTCATGAACTTGACACTTAATAAACCATCTCTCAATTTCAGTCTGTCTGCTCCCTCCTCAGGATTAAATTCAGGTTATGTATTTGGTAAGAATATCACAGAAGTGATGTTGTATCCTTCTCACTATATCACATTAGGAGATACCTAATGTCTGGTGATATCCCAAAGGTTTCTCCACTATACAGTTACGAATTTCAAAGGGAGAATAGTATCTTCTGAAGACGTTGAACTGATATCTTTTTATTTTGTTACTTCTATTTTTTAAGAGATGATGTAAATATCCTTTCTCTCATCACACTTTCAACCAACATCCATTGATGATTCTTGCATAAAACTACCATAATTTTTTTTTTTTTTTTGAAACGGAGTCTTGCTCTGTTGCCCAGGCTGGAGTGCAGTGGCACTATCTCAGTAAGCTCCACCTCCCAGGTTCACACCATTCTCCTGCCTCAGCCTCCCGAGCAGCTGGGACTACAGGCGCCCGCCACCACATCTGGCTGATTTTTTGTATTTTTAGTAGAGATGGGGTTTCACCGTGTAAGTCAGGATGGTCTCCATCTCCTGACCTCGTGATCCGCCCGCCTCAGCCTTCCAAAGTGCTGGGATTACAGGTGTGAACCACCGCGCCTGGCCGAAACTATCAGAATTTAAAACTAGAATAACAGTGAGGAGAAACATAAACCTATGAAAATTACCTAAAAAATGGGAATGTCCCTGGTCCTCTCTTTCTCAGAGAGCAGGTGGAAGTTATAAGCTGTCCATTTTTTTCTTTCAATTACTAATGAGTCCTGGGCTTCCACTGAATGGCCTTGACCCTACAGACCTTTGAGAGTGCTGTGTCTCATACCTTTGGCTCATTGGGTAATATGACCTTGTGGCATCCATATTTTAGACTCTTCATAAACCCTACACTCCATGCTAACAGATCTTAGATTTTTCTGTATCTATTTGCACAGGACCTGCTCATCCTGGCACATGTGGTGTCACTTGGGCTGTACCTGTTTCCATTTTCTTCACCATTTTTACAAATCAAATACTTCCCAGAAGTCTCGGCTTGAAGCTCTCTTCTGCATTAAGGCATTATGGGGGTACAGGGCTTAGCTTTTCTTTTGACATTTTTCTGTACTTAAGAATGAAGCTTGGAGCCAGCATGGTGGCTCACACCTGTAATCCCAGCACTTTGGGAGGCTAAGGTGGGAAGATCACTTGAGTTTAGGAATTTGAGACCAGCCTGGGCAACAAAGTGAGACCTTATCTCTACAAAAAAATAAAAAACGAATTAGCTGGATGTAGTTGTGCCTGCCTGTAGTCCCTGCTACTCAGGTGGCTGAGTGGGGAGGATTGCTTAAACCTAGGAGGCCAAGGCTGCAGTGAGCTGTGATTATGCCACTGTACTCCAGTCTGGGTGACAGAACAAGACCCTGTCTCCAAAAAAAAAAAAGTTTGGGCCTCAGCATTCATTCGATAACTCCTATAGTAGGGGGCAGACAAGGAAGGGTAATTCATATCTCTTGAGAAGTAGTAAAAAGAAGTGCATAAAATCAATGAATTATAAAACAAAAAAGAAAAGAACAAAGCTCATGGAAATCCGAAGAAATCACAGAAAAGGTGGCATTTAAAATGGGCCATGAAGACTGCAGATTCTGAGCTCTGTGTGAAGGTAGGAGGCTTTTAGGCAAAGAGGAAAGCTGGCTATGGGCATAAAGTGTTCACACTTACAGAGATATATGCAAAGTGTATCCGGGGCTGAAACAGTATGCATTCTAGAGTGGTTGAGAAAAGGGATCATAAGAGATAGGCTGAACTATCTTATATAGGCCCTTACGCTGTGCAGAGTGGTACCTTAGCCTGGGGTTTCAGGACAGTAATTCTTGCAGGAAGATGGAAGGTGGACTGGATAAGGGTGTTATTGGAAGAATGGGCACCAATCAGTAGAGTTTCAGGTGGAAGATAATCACCCAAATGTAGGCAGCAGTTAGAAAGGGGCAGCTAGTTTTCAAGCAACCAGTGTATATTTTTTTCTCTGCAATTCTGAAATCTCAAAAGCTGAAAACCAAAAATTTTTTCCTGAGCTTGCATAAAACATATTTGGTAGAAAAACGTAACCTAAACTGATGCAAAGCTATTTATTATCTTTGTCTTTATCTCACCTAGATTAAAAGACAGCCATAATTCTTTACTGCTCCTCCCATTCACAGGTGGTGTCTGTTTCCCCTCTGCATGAATCTGGCTGGCCTTGTCATTCATTGGCTTAGACCAATAGAATGTGGTGGAAATGAGTCTATGTAGCCTTCAGGGCTGGGCCTTAAGAGATCTGCTTCTGCATTTGCCTATCTTAGAAAGTCTCTTCCAGTAGCCAGCTGCCAGGTAGAAGCGCAACCACCATGAGCTTATCCATACTGTTAGAAAGCCCAAAGTTGCACGGAGAGGCAAGTTGAAAGAGCACTGAAATGCTCAAATGGGAATGAAGATTTCTTGGATTTTCTAGCCCTGCCAAGTCACCAACTGAAAGGAGCTGAGTAAATGACTCCAATCACACCATGCAAAGCAGAAGAACCTGCCAGTCAAACCCTTCCCAAATTCCTGACACAACAGATTTCTGAGCAAATCAAATGGTGATTTTAAGCCACTAATGTTTTGTGAACATTTGTTACATTGCAATAGATAATCCAAGCATATAATTATGTAATTCATGATTTTCCTTGCAGAAAATTAGTGGAGTGTCACCCCAGACCTTACCGAAGGTATTATGTAATATATGATACATGCACATTTTACCTTTCTAAATTGAAAAACAAAATCTGAATTTAGAAATTCATCTGACCCCAAGAATTTTAAGAAAGGATTGTCCTTTGTATTATGGAAATAGAGTTGTCTAGACTCCCTGTCTTTTGCGTTCACTAAATGTCATGCATGATGGTTGAGTCTCCTCCAGTCATTTCATGTATGTATCTCTTATTTCCCCATACTCAATAACAGTTTCTCTAAACCAGCAGCTAACTTCAGCATGCATCAGTGTCTTTTGGAAGGCTTGTTCAAACACAGCTTCCTGGCTCCACCCTCAGAGTTTCTGATTCAGTGGGTCTGGGGGTGGGGCTTGAGAACTTGCATTTCTGATAAGTTCCCAGGGAACTTACCTGCTGTTGGTCCAAGGACCACTTTGAGAACTACTGCTCCAGGGAAAAGTGCTATATTTTAAATTTTAATTATTTACCCACCAGCCCAAGGTGCTTACCAAATACACATGGATGGAATTTCTCCGCATCTTCCATCTTTGCCATGCTTTTAAAGCCTCAACTTTTACTCCCGGAGGTCTTCCTGGCTAGGTCCTAGACTTAAAAGACATTAATTCCTTGTTTCATTAGATTGTCGTTTTTGCTTTCTTCTCAGCACATTCGATAAGACACTGTGAAGAAAATGTCCCTTGTGATCTCTTTTTTAACCTGTCTTGGAACAAATCAGCAGAAATGCCTTCACTGTGAATCAAAGTTACCCTCGATTTATAGCCTTTTCTTCCTTTCCTTATTTCCTTTTCTTTTGGTGGCTTCCAGATAAAATGTTTCTTGCTACCGTTTCACAAAATAGAAGGAGGGACCAATAGGAAGATAATGTTTTTGTTCAGAGGCCCATCTGTCAAAGCCTGCATTTTAGAGACTGCATTACTGAGGCCCGAAAAGCAGAGCCACTCGCTCTGGGTCATACAGCGGATAAACGCAAGCACCCGAGCTCAGTTCTTCCTGACCTGTTACAAACGGCCTCAGTAAATGAGGACCCCCATCCCCTTCCCATGCCAGGAAAGCACCGCTCATTTGTCCTAAAGTTAACTTTACACAAATCACACCTTTCAAGCCTTCTTGAAACTTTTTTTTTTCCCCTCAAGGGTGACGGGACGGTCACGCTGATTCATCTTGGCCAGGGACCGCAAACATCTCCCCTCCTCCGGCCCAGGCGCCGTCACCCAGGCTCCACGGGTCGGCGGGACAGAGCCGAGGAGAGCGCCTGGAAGCGTCGCGCCCTCAAAGCCAAGCGATTAAGTTGGTTCCTCAAATTGTTCCCGACAGGAGGGGCAGGAAATAACACCGGGCTCTGGCGGAGGCCGCAGCAGGAGGGGGAGAAGCGCGGGCCGTCTCCCGGGCAGTGCTGGCGGCCTCTCATCGATCTCGGGTCTAAGGTCCGGCCGGGTCATCATTCCTGCCGTTTCCCCAGCATTCGCGGTACCACATCACCCCTGCCTCGGTCGTCGCTCAGTCACTCCCTCCGCGCCGAGTCCTGGAGCGGCGGGGTTCCTGGAGGCCTGGGTTTCCTTAAGGGGCCCCAATGCCCGCAGCCCCCGACCCGCCCAGGTGGAAGGAAACAGGTCACTGGCGGCTGCAGGCCCGGGCCAGGCGGGGCCTGACAGAGGCAAAAGCCGGGAGGGGAGCGGAAGACGGCCAGGAGGACCCCTGCGCCCTCTCCTCCGCGCCGCCGGCCGGGCTGCCAACCCAGCCACCCTAGGTGCGACGCGGCGCCTTCTCGGCCGCTGGGAGTCGGGCAACAGGTGAAGAGGCCGGGCGTCCGCTGCGCCTCCGCGGGGCGGTCCCTCTCCTGCCCGCCTCCCGCCCGCCCCTCTCCACGCCCCCTCCCCTCCTCCGGGCCTCCACCGCCTTCCCCGGCTGCCCGGCAGCCTCCCCTCGCTCGCTCTCCTCTTCCTCTAGGGCCCCTGCGCAGCTCGGGAGCCCGCGCACCGAGGCGCTAGGGGCGCCGCGCACTCGAGGGACACGCGCCACGCCTGGACAGCCCCCGGCGGGCGCCCCCTCGCACCCCCTGCCCCGCGCCGGCCGCGCTCCCCTCCCCCGCGCCTGTGTCCCAGGGGCGCAGGGCCGCGCGTCCAGCCGCAGACCCGCCGGGGGTCCCCGGGGACGCGCCAGCCCGGCAGTGGCTCGACGATGGAGGATCCGCAGCGCGCCCGCTCGCACACGGTCACCACCACCGCCAGCTCCTTCGCAGAGAACTTCTCCACCAGCAGCAGCAGCTTCGCCTACGACCGGGAGTTCCTCCGCACCCTGCCCGGCCTCCTCATCGTGGCCGAGATCGTGAGTGCGGACGGGCCGGGGGTGGCGGGGGGCTCAGCTGGACCCCGGCGCGTGCTTCCGCCGTGCTTCTCGGGATGGAGCCTGCTCAGATCTTCCCGCGGGCTTTAGGGAACGGTTTTGCTCAGCCTCGCCTTCTTCCCAAAGTGCAAGACTCTCTAAACAAGGTCCAACAAACTCTGGCTCTCCTGGGAAGAAAGGGTTGTGATCCTCAGGATGTCTTGCTGTGGGAGAAATGCAGCTTGGTGGGTCCTCTCGGTGCGGCAGCAGATCCTGGGAGCAGGATACTTGGGTTAGTGGCTATTGAGTTTGTGTTGAGTGTCAGAGACACCTGGTGCCTTTCTCACCTGATCTCCACGTGGATGGCTTCCTCCCTGAAAATAAAGCTTTCCTAAGATCAGGGGAAGAGGAAAGGGCTTCTTTCTTTTCCTAATTTATCTCCCCGATAGTAACATTGAGGTGAGTCGGGAAAATTTTCCTGAATAAAATCAGAGTGCCGCAACCTATTTTAGGACCAAAGAGGTCTTTTGCAAGGTGCTGTGCACATCCTGTTGTAGGCTCAGAACGTTCCTGGGAAGGAGGCAGGGCATGGGCGTTCTTCTCTCCATTGGAGGGCATAGAGGCTGGAAACTCACGTGATCTCCCCAGAAGTCCCAGCCAGTCCTTCATGGCTGAGAAAGGACTGGAGCCCTGTCAGCAGCTAGAGGTGGTCACTGTTTGAGTCTTCTTCGTGTACCAGAGTCTTGTCAAGCCCTTCAGATGTCCTCATACCCTCGTGTCATCCACACGACCACCCTCCCCTGTGAAGGCCTAGAGAGGGGACGTAAATCACACCAGTGGATAGTGAAGCATGGATTCAAACCCAGGCCTGCCTTTCTGCAGGGCCCCGCTAATAACTGCGAACAGTTGAGACAGCTTCCAGCTGCCTCAGCAGTGCCCTTCTGCCATCTCTCATAGACTTTTGTTAAATATTTGGGAATTCAAATCGAGCTTATGTAGGAGTTAGAGAATGGGCACGCCATCACGGTGCAGAAGTGACTGAAGATCTGGCCAGTTCCTTTGAGAAACCTGAAGTAAATCCTGTGTACCTCAAGTAGCTTGCTTGCTCCCCCAGTCTCAGATCCCACCCGGACCTGCTCTGTGAAGCTCCTGTTGGTCATAGTGCACGTAAGGTATGAGAAGTGTTGGCTTAGCTCCTCTCCCAGCTGGTTGCCTCAGCGGGTATTGAGGACTTCAGGAGACTCAAAAGCTGAAGGTATTAGAATCGCCTTGCAGGGCCTGGCTTTTAGGAGTTCAACAAATATTTGCTGTGCAAATGGAGGAGTTGGCAGGCTCCTGTGCTTCAGCAGCGCAAACAAAAGCTAAAATGAGGGAGATGGGCCTTCTACCTTGGGGTGGATTTGGGCCAGGCATGAAGCATAACGCCTTTTTTTTTTTTTTTCTGATTTATGATCAATATGCTCTGTGTACTGCACTTTTCAGGAAATACAAAAGTGAAAGAAATGTAAATGGCCCACAATCCCATTACTAGAAATAGTCACTGTTAATATGTTAGCATGTATCCTTTTAGATTTCATTTAAGTTGTTTGAAAAAGATGGGAAAACATGTAAGCAAAATCACCCTTATTACTACTATAGTTTTTATTTTTGACAGAGATAATTATGCACCTTTTTTGTTTGTTTGTTTGCTTTGTTTTGAGACAGGGTTTTGCTCTCTCAGCCTGGGGTGCAGTTGGCACCGTCATGCCACCTTGACCTCTCCGGCTCAAGCGATCTTCCCATCTCAGCCTCCTGAGTAGCTGAAACCACAGGCATGCACCACCACAGTTGGATAATTTTTAATTTTTTTTCTAAGGACAGGGTCTCTCTGTGTTGCCCAGGCTGGTCTGAAATTCCTAGGCTCAAGCAATCCTCCCACCTTGGCCTCCTAAGGTGCTGGGATTATAAGCATGAACCACTGTGCTCCACATTATGCCCATATTTAAAGATTCGGTCCTACAGGCAGAAATGTACGTTTCTCTGACTATCTTCATCTCTTAGAGCTCTAAACAACATGTTTATCATGCTGTTTTTTGGTGTTCCCTCACCCACCCAGTGGTAGACATTATCCGTTGCCTTTCTACTCTGAAAGGTGAGGCTTTTGCTGGGATGCCCTCTTCCCCGCCTCCAATTATACATACCCTCTTCCTGTCTCCCAGTATAGGTCCCCACTTATGATGGTTCAACTTAGGATTTTTCAGCTTTACAGCTGTTGTAAAAGCAGTATGCATTCAGTAGATATCATACTTTGAATTTTGAATTTTGTTCTTTTCCCGTGCTAGTGATATGCGGTAGATATTTTTTCATGATGCTGGTCAGCTCTCAGTCACCCACGCCATCACCAGCGCAAACCACCCATCCTCTCCAGCGTGCTGTGCTGCCGGGTGATTCTGCCAGCTGTAAGCTAACCTAAGTGTTCTGAGCACGTTTAAGGTAGGCTAGGCTCAGCTATGATGTTTGGTAGGCTGGGGTATTAAATGGATTTTTGACTTTGGATACTTTCCACTAGGGTGGGTTTATCAGGACATAACCTCATTGTAGAGTCAGGGGGCAGCTGTGTCGTCTTCAGGTGATTTGGGTTAGATCAGCAGCCAGTGTTGACCTAAGACACTGTACATGCCACTTACAACTGACCCACTGAGTAGACTATGAATGCTTTTCCTTTTGCTGCCCAATTTCTTTTTTGCCCTAGTGTTAGTAATTCTCTTTTATCGTTTCATATTTCTCCAGCTATTCAGTCACTAATTTAACCCTAGTTATTTAAGTCTCCTGTCAAGAAGCTGAAAGACTTCGGGTATTCTGTCAGAATCATCCTCATGACTGGCCTCTCTGGGAGCCTCTGGCGTGGTGGCCTGCGCACAGCTGGCCGAGTGGGCTCTCCTGCACCATCACCCTGAAGATTCTCTTCCTTTCTTTCCTGGGTTGGATCCTCTGCTTCCCATGTCCAGTGTCCTCGGTCTTGCCTTGCTTCCACTGGGGGCACACAAAGCCTCTCGTGGTTTTCTAAGAAAGCATGCATGTGGAAATGGAAATTTCCACCTTTCAGAATATCTTGATTCTATACACAATTCCTAGTTCGACTAGGTAAAGAGTGTTAGATTGAAAATGTTTTTCTTCAGGATTTAAAATGTATTCTTTTATTGTCCTTTAGCTATTCTGATCTAGTTTTGCTTTGTTTTGTTTTGTTTTGTTTTGTTTGAGATGGTGTCTTACTTTGTCACCAGGCTAGAGTGCAGTGGTGTGATCACAGTTTACTGCAACCTACCCCTCCTGGGCTCAAGTGATCCTCCTACCTCGGCCTCCCAAGTAGCTGTGACCACAGGCATGGGCCACCATGTCCGGCTGATTTTTTTGTGTATTTTTGGTAGAGACAGAGTTTCGCCATATTGTCCAGGTTGGTCTCGAACTCCTGAACTCAAGTGATCTGCCTGCCGCGGCCTCCCAAAGTGCTGGGATTATAGGCATGGGCCACTGCACCTGGCAGTAAAAATTTTTACTTCAATTATTTATCTCCCTCTACCCCCTGACTTCTGGAAATGTGTTGAACCTTCTTTTTCCCAGAGATCTAAAATATCACAATGATGTGCCTTCATTTGAGTGTGTATTCTCGCAGTGTACTGGGCACCTGGTGTGTTCTCTCAAGTAAGGGAAATTTACGTAAGCTTTAGGAGACTCCTCCCCCGTTTTACAAAGCTATTTTTAGTAAACAAAATACAATTTTTTTTTTTTTTTTTTTGGAGACAGAGCCTGATTCAGTTGCCAGGCTGGAGTGCAGTGGGTCTCATAATGTCACTCAGGCTGGAATTGCAGTGGCGCAATCCCAGCTCACTGCAACCTCTGCCCCCTGGGTTCAAGCAATTCTGGTGCCTCAGCCTCCCAAGTAGCTGGGATTATAGGCGTGCATCACCATGCCTGCCTCATTTTTGTATTTTCCATAGAGACAGGGTTTCGCCATGTTGGCTGGGCTGGTCTCCAATTCCTGACCTTAAGTGATCCACCCACCTCAGCCTCCCAAAGTGCTGGGATGACAGGTGTGAGCCACCTCACCCAACCAAAATAAAATAATGGCTCTTTTAAAAGTTTATAAAAAATAAACATTTATACATTGTTGGTCGGGCATGGTGGTTCACACCTGTAGTCCCAGCACTTTGGGAGGCTGAGGCCAGCAGATTGCCTAAGCCCAGGAGTTTGAGACCAGCCCAGCCAACATGGTGAAACCCCACCTCTACTGAAAATACAAAAATTAGCCCAGCATGGTGGTAGGCGTCTGTAGTCTCAGCTACTCAGGAGGCTGAGGCAGAAGGATCACTTAAGCCCAGGAGGTCAACGTTGCAGTGAGCTGGGTTTGCGCCACTGCATTCCAACCTCGGTGACATTGTGAGACCCTGTCTCAAAAAAAAAAAAAAAAAAAAATCACATTCTTTTAAGTTAAAGGTATAGGTTGGGAGTGTATCCTTGGACACAGTTTTGGATAACTGTCTTCTCTTCTCAGCTGCAGTTCACTCAGACTGACTTTTACATTACAAATTCAGGAAGGCAGTACAGCTCACTGTGGTTGAATGCATTTGACCTGTGTTCAGTTTCTAGTTCTGCTCTTCACCATGTATAGTGTGAGCCATTCTTTCAATTGGAAAGTATCTCATAAAGTTGTCAGGACCCGAACCACACAGCTGTGCATGAAATGCTTAGCAAAATACCCTGGATTACTCTTCAGTTATCTCCTTGTCTCATTGCCTTCTCTTCAGCTTCCAGTTTTTGCTGTTTTGCTTCCAGCCTTTTCCTTTGGTATATTTTAACTCCAGCAAATGCCAGACAAAAATGAGGCAGGCATGGTGGTGCACGCCTATAATCCCAGCTACTTGGGAGGCTGAAACACCAGAATTGCTTGAACCCAGGAGGCAGAGGTTGCAGCCAGAAACCATCAAACCTTCTAGCTCCCAGGACTTGACCTTCCACAGCTCCCT